TCTTTTTGATGATTATTTTCTCAACATACAAGGTGTGAAGTTACATATTCTGTTTTGTGTGGATGCTACTTTTGCCCTGTTTGGGATAATTCAATTTCATTATCCTTCTCCTCCTTCCTGTCCCTACATTATGATTAGTATGCACAAGTTTAATATCCAAAATTCTCAATTCATCATATTTAATAGAGTAATGAGCACACTGAGTTTAAGGAGTGTTAGTTACCCTTACATTTTCATGTAAACACCTACAGTTGCACTTTTCCACAAAGTAGTTATATAATGGAATAAACTTTGAGGAAGGCCCTTCTTTTACCTTAATAAACAAATGACTATTTCAGACTCCCCTGGGCCCAGGTGGCTGATACTTACTACATTTTGAAATGAAACTAAATTTTATTTTAATGAAAAGTTGTGTTATCACTCAAGTTAAAATTGTGTTGACATGAAAAAGCATCATTGTGGTTTCCTTCTGAATAGCTTCAAAAGTGATAGGGGAATTATGTACATTTAGCACTGAGGTTTTTAATCATATATAATTTCTGGACCTCAACGAGCAGACTCAGATTACTACTTCTCTTTTAAATTGTCGTTGATTTCTTCAAGCTAATGAGGAAAAGAAGATTTTTCTCAAAATAGCTGAAAGTATGAACTCAACATCATGTTTAATACCTTCGGATGTGAAGGTTTTTATATAATGAAAAACACACAAGGAATGCCATCAGCATTATCCATCATCCCCTGATATTCCTAGTAAACTTTTCTTTAGGAGAAAGTCTCATCCAGATTTTAAGATATATTTTACTTAAGACTTCTTTTCTTATAAAAACTGGTCAAGCTCATCTCTCATATCCAATGAGCTTTCCTTTTTTCAAATCCAAATGATTAATGCACATCTCCAGTATTCTTGAAGAGGTCACATCTTATTTTAGAATCTTTAAAATAATGGTTTTGTTTTCCTCATGATCCATGCATCCAAATCACCTCTGACCATCAATACAAAGCTTGTCAGAACTTCCTGAATATAAAAACAAAAACCAACCAAACAAAAATTCAACTGCAAATTAACCCATAAAATACTGAAAAGTGTTGCTTGAAAAATAAAAAAAAAAAGATTGCTGTGATAAGAGGGGTAATAAACTATGTGCAAGGAAAAGGCACTGCAATTCCAGAGAACTCTGAAGTTTCAGGGAGTACAACTGGGGATGAGCGTGAGACCATCACTTAAGTTTCAAGACTGGATTAGAAGTTTCAAAACATCAGAAATTTCCCTGATGTCTGAAGAAGGGCACTTGCAATTGTTACATTAGTTTCTGGTAAAATGTCTATCCCTTTGAAGCGTCCCAAATTAGAGGAAGATGAAGGTTTTATGTGTTGGTGGACACAATAAAGTTCCTTGAAGACAAAGCCTTTATGTTTGTGTATTTTTTTTTTTCCTGGGATGTTTGGAAAAATTACTTTGAATTGCACGATAGGAACAAAAATTTTGCTGTCGAGATTTTAAAGCTTCCATGTTAATTTGTAAGAATTGTGGAATGACTTTTTTCCCAAAATGTTAATGTCATGCATACATGTATACATACACAAATCAATAAATGCATTTAATGTACATTTTTGTTTGCATGAATTCATGACTCAATATGTATGACTATTAGCTATACAAAGATCAGAACTTCACTGGAAAGAGCGGTAAAGTTGAAAACTAGTAAGTTTAAGATGACCTAATGCTTTGAAAACAAAACCAAGGTGTAGAAATTGGACAGACAAGAAGTTCACATGCAGATTCAAGGAATTAGATAAGACAAGATGAATTCTGGCAGCAACAAAAGACAAAGCTTTATTATTAAAATCTCACCAAAAGATGAGGGCTACAAGAAATTGGGACGAGACTAAAATAGAGCCACATACCCAAATCTGAATAGAAAACAGGAAAATGTTCTGCTGGCTAAGCAGAGCACTGATGGGCAATTAGATAGTTGTCATTTCACGCAGCCTTTCCTTTTAAGAAACCACTCCCCAGCTCTAATGACTGGCCTCTGCTCTCCAGAGGTTCCGAGACTGCCTTCCCTCCTTTGCTCCTGTGTCCCAGACCCTGCAGGGCCGTTCTCCCGCCATCCCATCACTGTCACGCTTCTACAGTGACTTGAGGTCTCTAGATGCAGCACACGACAAAAACACAGTCAAGGATCCTGCCAGATCCATGACATGATGTTGGGCCAGGCTTATGTTTTCTCTCTCCCACAGACGCTGCAGTATTTTCAGAAACAGGGCCAGACAGCCCCTCGCACTCCTGATTTCCAGTGGAGGCCCACTGCAATGGCAGCAAGAGAGGTCCAGCCTGTGGGGCACAGTCGTGTTATGAATAATGTTACAGATGCTACAGTTTAAATTTTCTTTGTTGCATGTTGAGGAAGGGGAAGGGCCCATTTTGAAAAGAAAAAAAAAAGTGAGTTGACACAACAGATTGTGACAGATTTATTACTATTTATCATGGTAAATATGTATCAAAGAAAACATATAAGTGTCTTTATCTAGTCATATTCACTCCAAAGGAACCCTTTTATTATCTCCACTTTTTATTGTATGTCAAAAATATTCATACATAGTGAAGCAACTTTAGAAGTATCTCTTATCAGATAAATATTCATAATTCAATTTGAGCCTTAAAAAAGGAGTAAGCATTGCAGAGATCTACAAATGTAGAAATACAATCTTCTGGGGCAAAACTGTAACAGTGTCTAATGCCCTCTCCTTGGATCAAATTAAAATATATATTTTGTGAGGTGGAATGGCACATGGAAATTTTCATAGGTAACAAACAGTCAATACATACAATGAAGCTAATATACACTAAATTACCAGTAAGTCAAAACTGAGAGATTTTTGAAAACCGACAATAAGTAGATAACTGGATTCCACAATCATCTAAACTATCTTATTCTCTTTGTTTACAACAAAAAACCCAAACAAACAATAAGGATAAAATTTCCATTTCCACTGAATTTTTCCTCCTTTTCTTTCAAAAAGGGGCTTTATTTACCAAAACGCTCCTTAAGAACCATCAAGACTTTAACCAAGATAAAATTCCCTAAGGACAGTAAATCCCAAACTGACCACCAAAAGCCAAAACTAAGTTTCCAATCCCAGACTGATCCAAGGGAAGGAACGATGCTTTCTAATTTCTGAACATGACAACATACCGGCGACACGTAAATCATCTTAATAGCAAAGAAAAAAACTGTATCAGTGAAATTTTCTATACTGGACAGTTAGCTATAGGGAAATGCTTAAGCACAATGAATTATGAGAAGTTATTGCTGACCATGCTTAGGATATAGATTAATAGTTTATAGATAATATCGAATGCCATACCAATGCATTTCCATATAAATAACACAGATTTCTACATACTTTAAGGACTGAAAAAACACACTAAGTCAATCTGATTGTGAGGCATACCAGGGCACTACAGAAAGGTTTTATAGCATAGAGCTATTTCAGAACATTCAAAGGTCGACTTAATATATTTAACATTATCTGCATTAGGTTCTGGCATGTTTAAAATGTAAACAGTGGTGAGGATTAAATCATTTGAAGTTGTTGTAAAAGATATTAAAAGCTAAATTTTCATCTACATTAAATCCACTACAAACTTCAGGCTTAAAATATACTTACAGAAACCTGAGGAGATATTAGTCAAATCCAGCACAACATAGAAATTCACAGAATGAAACACTTGGTATCTTTTTAAGTGACTTATAGATAGCCCAAGTGTCTATTTTATAAGCTATTGGCAATCTTCTTTATGCAATATTTATGGATAATTTTATGATGCTTTTTCAACATTACCAAGTGTATATGACAACCAACATACACAATTTGTGTTTTTTTCTTGATATTCTATCTTGATAAATTTGCTTCATAATTTTATGGATGAGCTGAACTGAACTGGTCCATTCAAATGCACAGGTGTTTGGGTTAATCTAATCTTAGTGCATTTGCAACACCCATTATTCTTCTAATTTATTAAAAATGAAGGAAAACTAATACGAGAGCATTGATTCGTAATATATTTTAAAAAATCTAATTTTATTTTAAAGTGTAAGAATTTATAATAAGGTTCACGGTCATTTTCTCAAAAAATACTAGTACTAATACCCCACAGAACACAGAATGTAAAATGTGTGTGTATGTATGTATATCAAAGGCAGGAAAAATGCATAAAAAAGGAGAAAGAAAAGAACAAGGAAAGGACTCATTTATATCCTAATTAAGGAGAAAGGACCAGTTCTAAACAAAATTGAATTTCTAGAGAATAAAATTTGAAAAAAAAAATACATAAGAATTCAAATAAAATGTCATGTATTTAGTTGTGCTCACAACCGATTTTTGCTATTGGGAACTGGAGGGACCTCAGCAACTTCTGCATACAGCCCCAGCTATGAAAAAGACCCAGAATGCTGTTGGTTAGAGCTGGATTCTGCTATTTGTTCCCTGGTATTCCAGACACAAATGGCTACTGATGCAGCTACCTCTGCAGCCTTTATTCAGTAACCTCTCCAGAAAATAGAGACATTCTCCCTGCACTCTGGGCTGAAACCCATGTAAATTTTTCCTAAATCCTCTCCACAAATCCCCTTTTGCATGCAAATCCATAAATCATCATAATACTGACAAAGAATTTAACCAACACATGAAACTAATACTCATTCTCTTGAAAGCCCTGTACAGGTAAAAGTCCTGGAACTTCAGGCTCCTTTTCACGACTCTCTTCAGAGCTTAGCCTGCTGAATAGCAACACAGCCACCCCGCCTTCCAGGATATGCAATTAATCACTTCAACCTGAGTCAGGTGGCTGGACATACAGGACGCTCCTAGCTCATCCTCATTCTAGATAAACACACTGCCCTGCCACATGGAACCTCCCTTACCCTTATCTCTTTCCCATCAATTCAAAACTGACAATATAAACAGTATATAAAGCCGAAACAAGCAGTACTTACTGAAGATGGCAAACCTGGAGGAACTTTTCGAACTTTCTTTGTCTGTACCTCTGAAAGAAAAAGAAGGAAAAGAAGAATCTATGAGCATCCCACATGCGCATTTTCCTAACTAAAATAGATTACACCACGAAGCTATTTAGACTAGACCAGATTTTCTTAAATCACCACTTTAGCAAAATATCAGTACCACTATTGTTTTTTATTCTGGCAGAAATCAGATTATAATTTGTTCATAAAAATGAAGGTATCTAACTTTGTAAAGCTTTGCTTTTTAAAAAGGTTCTTATATGGACAGCTAAGAGAAAGCAAGAAATAAGTATATGACAAAATAGTTCTGCTACTATAAGCTATTAACATATCCTCTCAGAGGATTACTGGGGTGGGAAGTCATGAGCTAGACAATTGAACATTTTATGTTTTCTGTTGGGGGTGGGTTTGGGATAGGGTGAGTGCATGGCAGGAGGGAAAGAAAGGGAGAGAGGGAGAGACAAAAAGACAGGGTTTGGGGGGGGGGCGGAAGAAGGAAGGACAGAAGGAAGGAAGGAAACAGGACTAGTAATCACTCAGGCATTCAAACAGAGGAACACCTTACCCATGGCACTACTGTGAAGAGGCCTTCTTCGGGGGTTATTGCTAGAATACTGATAATACTGGGAACCAGGTTTGGTGGGCGAAAGGGTTCCTGGGTTGCCCATATCCATGTCACCTCCGAGGAGACTCTGCTAAAAGGTTAAAAAGGGAGAACAAACACGTAAGATTCATTTTTTACATTCACCACCCACCAACTGATTGTTAGTACTTAAACCAATGCAATAAAGAAAACAGCATCTGCTAAGCTGAAACAATTAAAACACAACAAAACAAAGAGAAGAAAAGCAATCTAAGAAGCTATCACCAAGTTTGTGAATTCTTTAATTCTTTACTTTTAAGAAGGTAGAAGGTGATTGATTCTCTTTAAACAATCTTTTAATCTTCTAAGATGACTAACATTTTAGTTTTGTAAGAAAAGGGCATTTATGTAAGACTAATGTTTTCTTCAGCTAGACTTAGGCTTCTATCTGGGAACGCTTCATGCCCTTCCTTAACAAGAAACCAGAAGAATCTGATATTTCCAACGCACAAAACGTCCCCCTGCTGATCACACTGGGAGTGAGTGTGGATGCTGAACCTCACTGAGGACGCGCCTCTCTGCCTCGGCACAGCTTGATCCTCCACGAATGTACACAGCACCCACAGAAGAGAAAATGCCAAGTGAACCGGGAGGAGATTCAAATCCTCACATTAACTTCCAAAATGATAGAAATGGTAGGCATGCTAAGCTAACGGGAGCACATTAAAGGACTTTAGAATGCCCTCTTGAGGACTATCGGAAGTTAAAACACATCCTCACAGATGAAACATTTACCTGAACACTAGAAAACTTTCACAAATATCATTAACTTCTCACGGTGTGACAAATTACTAGACTTTTGAAAATGATGACACAGGAAGATTATATAATAATATTAAGATTTTCTAAAAACTACTAGGAATTTACCCATAATATATAAATCGTCTGATTATACTCTGCATTAAATACATTGTTCTTTTAATTATTCTGATATGCAAGAAAACAAGTGTAGATACTACTACCGTTTATATTAAGAACAAATTTACTATTTAATAAAGAAATTTTAAAATTAACTACTAAAAATCTAACTTTATCGTTACTTGTAATCAACTTTTACTGACTGAACTAATTACTGTCCTTGATAAAGTACAGAATGTGTTTTCCCTAATCTAAATTCTAATCACCATGTCACTCACAACAGACTTAGGGATGCTTCACTAACACACTATTCACATGCAAAATACTCTAAATAGGCCAATTATGACTCTGCCCCTGTTCCCTGGTTAACCCGCTGAGAACTGAAAAATTTCACAAGGCAGTCACCAACTAAAACAAAGGGTCCTTGTTTTAAATTAAGACAGTCTTTTTGATTCCTAAATAGCTCAACAAAGTGGCATGTCTTCAAGTGAAAGCAGTTGGTCAAATATGACCCATAAGCTGGAAAATCAAAAATTCAAACCTCCCCTTTCCACCGCCTTATAACTAAATATCATAAAGAGAGCCTCTCTATTCCGAGGGACTTTTGTGAGTGTTGGATGGGTAATATATAAAGGACTAATCAGCCACTGACAAGCTTGTTTTCACTGATTCCAGTTTAAGACTTTTTCAAGGGATCCATAATAAACATTACTTTAAAACTGCAGAGATGAAAAACACATTTTGAGTCATAAACTCACTGGGAGTTTCTTAATATTTATCACATAAAAATAATCTGACAAAAGCCAGATTATTTACCAGATTAAAAACTTGACATCTGCATGCTCAACAACTGCCTTTTCCGAACTTAAGGCAGATATCAAAATGCTATACAACGACAAACTAGAATACAGAGCTCTTCGTAATATTGTTTTCTATTCATCAGAAATCACAAAGTACAAGATCAAATGATTTCTTTACCATTTTAAGAGTGGCAGCCGAAATTTTTAGAATCAACCTGAACTTTCACTCCTTGTAAACCTTATAAACAAAGTCTATATTTAATGTCAAGTCCAAATTTCCACTGGAATTTCCATCAATAAAGCGCTGAATGATTTTTAACCATAACTTCCTTACGACTTGGTAAATCTACAAATGAGTCTTCATTTCACTGGAAAGAGGAGTTTGAAAATGTTATTATTGACAACCCTGTATTCTAGATAGATACTACCCCAATTCTTCTTTTTCTTTCACTGAAATTATATTCAGAAAATGGCTGAGCAAATGTGTTAAAATGCCTGCATGTTCTTTTAATGAGCTTATCTACTGGTTAATTCTTGTTGGTCCTGGTGGTAAAGGTTTTCATTTCCAAGAAAGTAGATACACTCAATAGGTCAACATAAAAACAAACATGCTTGCTGAACTGTATTTCGGCAGTACTCACAACAGAGCTGTGAAAAATATAAAATGATAACTAGAAGCCAGCTCACTGGCTATGGCTGACCTTATTGTTAATTTGAAAGAAAACATTTCATGGGCTAGTTGTAAGTAAATCACGCATCCAACGCTGTGTGTGCAGCCACCTGAGCGACGCACAGTGACACAGGACGGAGACCTTACAACACTGGCAAACACTGCGTGGTTCCTGCTTTTTTTTCCCCCTCACAAAGCACATTCCTGTTTCTTTCTTTTTAAACCTGTTTATTCCTTTTTCTTCTTCACTCGGACAATAGAATCATTCTTCTAAAGCAACAAAAATAAGCATTTCCTCACACTTGAGGAGGCCCTAATCATCCCCCTAGGGAAAATTCAGATAAAAATATATGTGTTCTTATTGTAGAGTATACTTGTAAAATGAACAATGTCCATTTACTATTGTTTGGTCTTTACGTCAGACAAGCAACTGGCTATAGCAGTAAGAAAGACCAAAAAAATTTCCACAGGCTGATAAACCTGAGCTCATAAATTTTAAAAAGTTAACAGCATCTAATTTCATAAAGTAAGTTACATACTGCAAAGAATAGGCATTTATTTATATATGAATGTCTACATAAGTAAACAGGTACGTATATATGTGAAGAAAAATCCATGCTGGATAAAAGTTAAGTTGGAAAGCTGAAGTCTACTCTCAAAATGGGCAAATGCATCCTTGCTTTCCATAGGATCACCAAGGCGTCAGGTTTTGCAGGTTTGCAAGCTCATGCTCTGCGGTTATCTGGGCGGGTCCCAGTCGAAAGCTGCCTGAGTCTGCCAGGAAACACTGGAAGCAAGATGTGGCATCGTGCACAGCTAACCTGTAAATCTTAAACCCAGAGTTCAGCATTTTGTCTAACTGTCTGCAACGTGATGAGATGAGCCGTTCTCCTTATTCACTCCTCCTTTGATTCCGAAGACAAATAATACTAGGACTTAAAATATGCTAACCAAGGAGTAAATTAGGCTAACTTCGCCAACCAGGTTTAAAGATGTTGGGGTCCATCCCCTGCAACCAGTTCTTTACCAGAGAGCCAGGCCCTCCCAACACAGCCAAGCAACTGCCAAATGCAGCATTCTGTGAGGGGCCCTTTCAATTAAAATTTTTGTTTGTTTTGCATTAGATCTGGGTCTCAGACTGTCTTTCTAACAAGTTCTCAACCCTGCCCCCATTCTTTTCAGGGGGAGCTATTTAACATCCTTGATCAACCACTGAACTTTGCTTATGCAACCAAGAATGCAAACCATGAATTAAACTTGAGTAACAGAAAAGCAGCATATATCTCAAATTAGATTTATAACTGAATGGTAATCAAAAATAGAACTGCTTCAAGCTTAAATTATCAACTTTTTTCTTGTTAAACTAAAATCATCTTGCTCTGAACTATTATTTCATTTCAGTCAGCACTTTAAATGTAATGGGTGGGTGGTACATTTCTAAAATGGAAGATTATATTTACCCTTAATTATAGATATGAGTGAGATCAGAGTACGATGAATGCTGCCTTTTGGCTTATAATTAATTCATCTAATAGGTGAATGACCTTGAATTTCAGAGTTGAAATCTGGGAGAGAGGGGAAAAAAAAAAAGTAGTAGGAGGAAAAAAAAAAAATCTCTGGGGAAAAGCAAATGAGCCCCTGGCTTCTTAGGGCTTTCTCTGATTTTGCGTCACTCCCATTACGTTGTGATCGGATATCAGACACAACATCTTGGGGGGATGTTGTAGAACAGAGAAAAGCAGCCTCAGATGAAACCAGATTAAGCTCCTTTTCTGAACTATTGCCAAATGCTTGTGAATCTAATTCATGTTTGGGTATTCTAGTACTCACACAGCTGCAATTCTATTCTTTCATCACAAACCTAAGTGATGTATAGTGGCTTTGTATGGCGAACTGACTCTATAAAGCTAGGAATTTTGGAAGGCTTTATGTTAATATGGAAATAACATTCTGAGCCACTATAAAACTTATAAATGCTGGGTATATGTACAGGGACCTAAAAGGCTTTGCAGTGCTAAGTGCAAAACACACATTGAGAAAAATTATAAATTAGACTTGTTTAAAACTTTTTTTTTTTTTATCAAAACCGAGGTCATTTCTATGTGGTTAATTTTGCACAGAATCGGGTTTTCAAAGACACTGCTGAATAAGATTCCTAACAGCCATGGGGAAGTTTTTGCAAATCCCTGTTGAATAGCTGCTGCTGAATTTGCCATTTTGACTACAGAAGGGCCATTGCTGACTTACTGTAGTAGCAGGAGGGGGCGATAATTTTGCTGCTGTTGGCACTTACTCTGCAACCTAGAATATATCTTACACCAAAGGGCAATGAAGAACACAGTATTTCCACCTGTCCACTTTTGAACTTCAAAGCTCAAAACTAAAGGTCAATATTTTGACAGTCTTTATTCCTGATACTTGAAGGTCCAGTAATGCCCCATCAAAGGCCATTCGGATTTCTATCCTATGCTTGGTTTCAACAACAGAGGACTTGGGAAACTTAGAAAGATAAGACAACAAGGATAACTTCCATAAACAGGAGTTTAACAGACTGTTACTGTAATGCAGAAAATGCAAATTACTAAACTATCATTTAGCAAAGATTTTCTTTAGGGACTTTTGGTCAATGTTTTTGTTTGCACATTAAGTGTGTCATGCACATTATGAAAAGTTAGAAGTTGAATCTAAACTCTCAAGGAAAAAGGAAGGTTCCGAGGTCAGACA